ATGGGATTTTTAGAGGGGGAAAATGGGGGAAATGGGATTTTTAGAGGGGGAAATTGGGGAAAAAATGGGATTTTTATAGGGGGAAACTGGGGAAAAAATGGAATTTTTATAGGGGAAAAATGGGGAGGAAATGGGATTTTAAAGGGGAAAAATGGGATTTTTATAGGGGAAAATCAGGGGAAAAATGGGATTTTTATAGGGGAAAATTGGGGGGAAAATGGGATTTTTATAGGGGAAAAATGGGGGTTTTATAGGGGGAAAATGGGATTTTACAGGGGAAATTGGAGAAAAAATGGGGGTTTTATAGGGAAAAATGGGATTTTTATAGGGCAAAATGAAGGGAAAAATGGGATTTTTATAGGGGAAAATTGGGGAGGAAATGGCATTTTTATAGGGGAAAAATGGGATTTTTATAGGGGAAAATTGGGGGGGGAAAGGGATTTTTATAGGAGAAAATTGGGATTTTCATAGGGGAAAAAAAATGGGATTTTTTTCCTCCCCATTTTCCCCCATTTCCCCTCAGTTTTCCCCAGGTTTTCCAACCCACAGCAGCAGCATCCTCTCCACTCCTAACTCCACTTTTATTCCCCCAAATTCACATTTTTCTCCCCAAAATTTTCCACTTTCCCCCCAAATCCCTCTTTACCCTCCCAAAACCCTCATTATTCCCAAAAATTCCCTTTTTCCCCATTTCCCCCCATTTTTCCTCATTTTTCCTCACATTTCCCAACCCACAGCAGCACCATCCTCAGCACTCCCAAATCCCCTTTTATTCCCCCAAATTTCCTTTTATTCCCCCAAATTCCCATTTTTCCTCCCCAAATCTCTCTTTACCCTCCCAAAATCTTCATAATTCCCAAAAATTCCTAGTTTTTCCCCATTTTTCCCAATTTTTTCCCCCATTTTCCCTCACATTTCCCAACCCACAGCAGCAGTATCCTCAGCACCCCCAAATCCCCTTTTATTCCCCCAAATCTCCCCTTTATTCCCCCAAATTCCCACTTTCCCCCCCAAAATCCCTCTTTACCCTCCCAAAACCCCCATTATTCCTAAAAATTCCCTTTTTTTCCCCATTTCCCTCCCATTTTTCCTCATTTTTCTTCCCATTTCCCAACCCACAGCAGCACGACCCTCAGCCCTCCCAAATCCCCTTTTATTCCCCCAAATCTCCCTTTTTTTCCCTCAAATTCCCACTTTTCCCCCCAAATCTTTCTCTACCCTCCCAAAATCCTCATTATTCCCAAAAATTCCCTTTTTTCCCCATTTCCCCCCATTTTTCCTCACATTTCCCAAACCACAGCAGCAGTATCCTCAGCACCCCCAAATCCCCTTTTATTCCCCCAAATTTCCTTTTTGTCCCCCAAATTCCCATTTTTCCTCCCCAAATCTCTCTTTACCCTCCCAAAACCCTCATTATTCCCGAAAATTCCCTTTTTTCCCCATTTCCACCCATTTTCCCGATTTTTCCTCCCATTTCCCAACCCACAGCAGCAGCATCCTCAGCACCCCCAAATCCCCTTTTATTCCCCCAAATCTCCCCTTTATTCCCCCAAATTCCCACTTTTCCTCCCAAAATTCCTCTTTACCCTCCCAAAACCCCCATTATTCCCAAAAATTCCCTTTTTTTTCCCCATTTCCCTCCATTTTTCCTCATTTTTCTTCCCATTTCCCAACCCACAACAGCACCACCCTCTGCCCTCCCAAATCCCCTTTCATTCCCCTAAACTCCCTTTTTTCCCCACTTCCCCCCCCCAAATCCCTCTTTACCCTTCCAACATTCTCATTTCCCCCCAAAATTCCCATTTTTCCCCCCATTTTTGCTCACTTTTCCCCGGGTTTCCCAATCCACAGCGGCAGCGTCATCGCCGACTGCTGCAGCAGCGTCATCAGCACCCCCCTCCTCATCGTCTTCCTGGGCGGCTCCGCCTCGCTGTAAATCCCGGCGATTTTGGCCGCTGGGATAAAAAGAAAATTATTAAAAAATGTAAAACAGCAAAATTTGAGGGGTTTGGGTGGAATTTTGAGGGGTTTGAAAGGGTTT